CAAATAAAGTGCCCTCCCTCAAAATGAATTAGCGTAAATTCAAGCGAGCCTTAGCCAGAAGATCTTAGCTAGGTGATGAAGGAGCCCCCTATGCATGTCGTGTTCTGGGACAGTGATCCACGATGACAGTGGGTTCCGCCAAGCCGCACACAGGTCTCCATGGGGACGCCATTTTGTCACCCCTCATTTGACCTTGACCTCCATTTTGACGTGAGGTCGCCCACTCTCGCAGTTCTGTCAGGTACCATCGATCATAGTTTCCGCAGTTGTTTCCAATTCTCGCGCTCTCATGACTTTTCCTGACCTGAATTTCCCAGAGTTAACCGACTGAGCCGGTGACAGATGATGGAGGTCAGAGGTCAAAGTCGGTAACGTTTCAAACATTCGGACGTGACATCCACGCTCGTTTCGATACGTCTGTCTGTTGTCTACTATATATTCTTACACACGCATGGCACATCAGTACCACGTAAGGCCTTTCACAAGGGGTAAAATGATCGACATACAAAATGATAAATCAAATCTTTTTGGAAACAAGATCATTGCCTTTTTAATTGAAAAGACCTCGAAAGTTTGGAATCTCTTGGGTGCGGGATACCCACCTGACTTCCTTAGTTACACGAAATGCCCTGCAATGAATTATGTACCCGATACCCATAACGTTACATATAGGTTTGCAGAAAACATACCTACTACAGTGCAGTACAATACCATGTGTTATGTCTCATTTTAAAAACTCAACATCATCATCTTTGTTTCGACTACTAAGAAACAGAACAGTCCCTGCACCACTCCACTATATATGCGGATACGCATAGTAACGCTAATTGTTCAAAACGTTTGCTCCATAACAAGTTGCCGTCCACAATTTTCCTTTAACGTTAGGCCATGTTGATTTGACTATATGGACGACATTCGTGCGCGCATGAATTTTCGTCCACTTAAAAAAAAAAACGTTTTTCGACCATACTGTAAATCGTATAAAGTACCTGCAAAATGAGCAAATATATGCCGTAAATTGGAAACAAATATTGCAAAACGATATTTATAAGAAGAAAATGTGAAGGAATCTATATCCAGAGGATGTCATCTATATAATCAAATCAACATGGCAAAAATGTCAAAACAAACGGTGTTGAGCGTCACAACAGTGTTTAACTAATATCCACCATAATAACATCAAGAGGATTTGCGGGTCATGCCAGCGGTTAGCAATTTTTTTTCGAGGTTCTATCTTTTCATGTTGCCTAGCCATCATCATATTCCAAGGTCACCACAAGTGAAGGTCATTGCTAAACGGTTACTAGGAGTTCGCATTGAGGACACGTGATTCAATACGGCAGTAAATTAGTGAACCTTACACCAGAGTTTAGCCATATTCCCAATGGCCGTCTCTTTTCATGTTTTTATCTCCATCGTCAGTTTATCATCACAATTCCCAAGGTCATCATACACGAAAGTCAAGAACAAATGGCTTCTAGCTATAAGCAGAGTTCGATTTAGGGACACGCTATTCAATATGAAGATAAATCAATACAACTATAGCCTGAGTCCAAATGCCTTCCTCCTACTTTCTAAAGCTCATCTATTTTTCATGAAGTACCATAAAATCAACTACGTAAATAAATAGCACATAAATTTATCGTAGCGCCAGAAACTTTGCCTCTGGCGGAAAAAGTTGACATACTTGTACTTCAAAAGAAACCATCAATCCGCGGTGGCCTAGATTCATAAAGTATCGCCCTTGGTTATTCGGTCGACCGCCTGGCCTCTGGCTCACACCTATACATCATAGCCCGCGATGTTACATACATTACACATGTTACAGTGGATATGAAACCCCTTCTCGTCCCTCCCTCGTTCCCAGAGGTGTAATAGCTCAGCACGACAGGTAGGTAGTACGTCACGTGACGCGGCCCTAGCAACACTTTTTTTCGCGCCTTGTGTGCCTCCCGGCGTTTCCGTTACTGCCGACAGGGGGAGGCCTGAAGCAGCGGCAGTAAATACTGTGAGAAGGCCACACACATCTGTTGGCTCTGCGGATGGCATCCACGCGAGCATTGATGTACAAAACAATGTTGACAATAGCCAATTATACCAAGGACATTTACTAGTATATAAATTTTGTAAAAATGACCTTGAGTAAACATGTATGTCGCTCCAGATCTAGTACTAAAGCTGATCTTCCACTGGTTATGAGTAGGGTAGACGCTTTTGCAATATACAGGTTCAATATACCAGGGAACTACTATCTCCCTGGTCTTTCACAATGAAAAGATATCCTTTCCAGTGGCCAGCTTAGCATATTAGACTGGTAGGCGACAATATGCTGGTCTTTAACAGTGGAGCGTCTGATCCAAAAGCAGCTTCACAAACAACTTAAACGATATGCAAAACTACTCTATAAAGGAATGAAATATGCAGCCTATAAACATACGTCTTCCAAGAGCAAGACTCCATTTCTACACGGATTTCTGAATGTTTTTGTTACATTCATTCCCCCATGATGTTCCACATTTAGACATCTTATATCTTAAGTACCATCTCGTCCTTTTTCATTTCACACCTGCATGAGATTTGGGGGTCTCCAACGCATGTCATCCGTGAAATCAAGATAGTGTGGCCACGCGATACTGCCAACGGGGAAGTAAAGCTAAAAATAATGTCAGTAAACACCATAACCATCAATTTTACGGCACCAGCCGAGATACGGGACGTCATTTGCACTTCTGTTAAACCCATGGGAAGAAAAGCGCGGTGGCTAACGTACTGCTACATGACTATCAAGTCTGATGAAGTATTAGACCTGTGTAGATGAGTAATGAATTTTACGATCTGTTCAGGTAGAGACATCGGACTTGGGTTGTATTTTTAATGAAGTTTTGAAATGAAAGGCACAGTAGGTATACGTAATAGAGTGCCGCTTCTCCAATTCTCCAACTTCTCCTACTGCTTTGGACAGGCTCATTTCTCTTAGAAAATCCTGATGAAGTGCTAGCCACAAAGATTTAAACACCCCATCTGTTTCTGTCGGGCTGTATCTTCCTCTAGTGTGCGAAATTATCCGGTATGAGCGCCTTTTGTGTAACACAATATTTTTTGCCACCATGCTTGTCTGCATTCATTCATAGTATCTCCAGAAAGATGAAAAGTATCATCTCATGAATTCATAAGCTACAGTACGTATGCAGAAATTTGGTGGATGGTTTAAACTTTGATTGCAGCTTTGATGTTTGACACTAAGTATCGGAATGAAGCGGAACGAACCGGAACGGACCACAGTTCGACAGAATGGGACTATAATGTAGATTATGGACATGGATTATGACATAACCAAGATATCCGTTGATACGTCGATGAAGGTTAGACATCCAGGTAATAAGATACGCCAAAAAAAGTTACTCAAGCAACTGGATATGATTTTGGAAACGGTCAAGACATCCCTTGATGACCTTGCTTACGTTGAGTTTCCTCCAGAAAGAATCATCATGCCCCCCCCCCCCCATGGAGGATATGGGAGACAGGGTTGCCATAGAAACCAGGCCACCTGACACTCACTCGTATGTTCAGTTTGTCGCCCAACGTTGTGCAGACGACCTCCTATGGGAGTGAGAAACATCGCTTCTGTCGTATCATTTTCCAAACTGATGTAAGTTAGTGCTGGAGCATTGCACAAGGATACTAACTGTTCATTTATTCATTTATCAATAAAGATAGGAAAATTCCCCAGGTATTAATTAACCTGCATGTGTCTAACATGTTACGTTGGACACTTACCAGACCAGCTAGGAGACCTTGCCCGACAAGCGCATGGGATCCGGAGGTGGCTTCATTCTCTCTGAGAGACTTTCAATCCGGGAGACTATCATCGCCACCTGTCGCATTATCCTGAAACTGCATCGCCACCTGTGCCATTATCCTGAAACTGAAACTGCAGCTTAATTCATGCAATGACGCAAAACACATTTCTGCAAGACACAATGTGATGCAATAACCATGTTTGCAGTTTTAGGTAAAACTTTATTTGAATAAATAGGCATGCTTTCAAACATCCAGCAGTCAATTTGATGATTATTCTTAAATGCTGTACTGCACTAGCAAAATAATGAGTTTTCCAATGAGCCATGGCTTTAAAATACATTCTATATTGCACTTAAGTCACTAATGACATTCGTAGCTTAACCATAGTTTCAGCTGCTTTGATAATTTCCAGTAATTGGAAAATACCTTCCAGTCCGAATCAATTAGACTAAGTAATTTTCATTAAGGTACCAGCTGTAAAGGCACTTTTCTAAATGTTTCCAAATGTTCTTCACGACAACAATACTTATATAACAACACATGATATACATGTACTTATACTAATCAGGGGAATGAAAGCAACAATCCCTGTATTGAACACTTTCTGCACTCAGTATGATCTGACACCTACATGTACAGGTAACTAGATTAGGTATATTCAAACAAAATTTATCCATGACATGTTTTCCATGTATTACTAATATAACATATCAATAAATGTGTGTATGAAATATATTTTGTACAATACTACAGATAACAAACTTTGTACCTGAACTTCAAACATAACGGATGGCAGGCAACTACAAAATGCTCTAATGATTACCATAATGTCATTATTGTACATGTAGCTTACACATCATCATCATCAGCTCCATGCAGTATTTACTGAGGTGGGCCACCATTATGGTTCTCCACTGACACAGCATGCAAAACCTACAACTATGTACTGACACACCTAGTGGTACACAACGTGTACATACATGTATGGTAAAAATGTTGGGGGAGTAGCAAGTCAGCCAAATGTACTGTGTCTGCTTAAAACCCATATTAATATTGTGCATAGCACTTCGGCAGAATGTCTCATTTACGGTCATATTCACGTATTTAAGGATGCCATCTCGTCTATAGTTTTCAAATGTCATGGCAGAAAAGGTGTCATCTGCAATGGGCAAAATTCTGAAGCAATGTTGACCAAACATTCAACAAAAACTGTGAAAAATCCAGGTCTCATACAGGCACAGTACATTCTGCCGACATGCTTTGGGAGTGTATGAACACTGCCCTTAGTGGTGCTGGTCAGCCACAGAGTAGTACACCCAGTAGAAGATGTTGAAGCCGATGTAGCTCAGCGGGAACAGGATCCGGGCGGCCTTGTCGATGATTGCAGCGATCCCCTCGTCCTCCGGGTTCTTGGGTTTCTTGGGCGGCTCGGCGGGCTTGGTGTGGCCGTTCATGGAGCCCTTCTCGCCGCTGCCGTTTATGACCCCCTTCTCGCTGGGGGGGTTTGGGAGCCTCACCACCTTCACAGGGTGGGTAGGGGCGGCGGCAGCGGTCTGTGGACAGAATTAGTGTGATAGTCTGCAAGCTTGTAATGTAGATTCAAAACAATACATTCTTCCTTAGATAGATACTTCTTTAGGTTACATGATACATTTGCAATGGATATCTTATAGGTTTTATCTGAAATTATCCACAAGTGTAAAGTTGCTGTTTACCTTGGGCTTATGCTTGCGATCGTAGTAGTTGACGATGGCATACTCCAGAAGGGCACCAAACACCATGCACTGGCAGGCCAGGAGCCAGGCATCGATGGCACGCACGTAGGAGATCTAAACAAATATAGATAAACAAGAACGGTTGAAATAAACAACGACATGTCATTAAAACCTGCAGTGGTGGGAAGCAGTGTTGGGGCTAAAATGTCAGCATTTTGGAGTAGATTCAGAGGCTGAAATGGTTGTTTTTTTTTTGCAAATCAGAAAAAAATGAAGCGGGTGAATCTGTGAACAAACAAATTGAATTGGTGTGGCCTTAAACTAGAAAATGCGACACAAAATGAGAGAAAACCGTCGTGACCTGTGGCATGTCGACCACCCGTGTGCTCTGTGTGATCATGGTGAGCACGGTGGTGATGCCGAGCGCCACGCGGGCCGGCACGGCGGCGCGGTTGATCCAGAAGGCGACCCAGGACAGGCACACGATGGTGATGCTGGGCACGTAGATCTCCATCATGTAGTAGGACAGCCGACGCTTCATGTACATGGTGATGGCCAGGGTTGTGTAGGTGTTGGGGCTTCCTGTGGTAAGAAAAAAAATTTTGAAAATTAATCCAAATAACAATACTCATGATCCCCTAAAAAAACAGAAAAGAAAATTCAGTATGTGGTGATCAAGATCTCAAATTGCTAGCTTCTTTTCAAATTAAAAAGTAACCAGTACTAATGCCATGTATAGACGCTACAACAAAGGCCAATCACATGATACAGAGTAAAAGGCCCTTACCTTTGTTGGTGTCGTCACATGGATCTTCTGCTCCTGACAGCTTGCTTCCACCGTAGTTCTCACACTGCTTGGTGCAGGCATCAGTGACATAGCCATAGGATCCCTTATGGTAGGAACAGTCTGTAGAGGACACACAGTACACCTGATAATTATTACAAGAATTATCTTTTACACTTATGACACTTGTCCATGCTGTTACTGTTCACGTTGTTGGTCTGTCCTTGGTGCTGAAATACTTACCCACTATGCACCAGAATGATGTATTTAACTGTCCTGAAACTGTGAAAGAAATTAGAACAGGGATTTCTGGGGATTGTCAACTTTTGAGTGAAACTATCAATTGATAAATGAAGCAAAAAAAGGTGATCATTTGCACCCTCAGATCTAATTACAATAGGCAGTTCCGAGGATGGTGATTATGTTTACCGAAGAAAAACATATTGTTTTTGCTCTGTTTCTTCTTTCGTTCCAAACACTGACCTGGTCAATGACCTGAACCAGACCATCTGTCACCATGGTACCTGGTGTTGAGTTACATAATGTTGCAGTTTTATAGTAGGAGGGATTTAGACTCCTGTCACCATTTATGTGAATGTGTTTGAGTAACAGAGCAGACCATATGGAAAGGTAAACATTATTCATTTGCTTGCAAATGTTACTTTTCTAGTTGAATCCAAACTAAATCCAAAGTTTTGTTCTTACGATGGACGCTGGAGAGGAAGGAGTTGTACTTGGCCTGGAAGTCGACCTGGGTCACCTCGAACTGGGAGTGGATAGACGTGGCGTCGGTTACCACGGGAACGCCCGGCACCACCCACTGGAAACTGGGGTTCAGCACAAACCGCATGCTGTCGTCTGTGTCAACAAACAAACACATCATCGGACTGACATTAATTTCTCTTGGAGCCATCTTCTTAGGAAATTTGAATGATTTAGCCTTTTCTACATCAAGATCAGATGAATGGAATAAAGGTAGCACATTCTGACCAATGAGGATGAAACTTTACAAAGATGTGCCAACAATCATGTAACACATACAACATCAAGTACCCAGTAAGTTCTAATGTGTGGTTTAAAATTGACCAATGCTTCACTGCTTTAACTCTTATAAAATCACATGCCATTAGGATTAATACATTGTAATACTAGACTTTAAGAAGAGACACAGGAATGCAAACTGAAGGCTTGGGAAGGAAAACATCACATGGAAGCTTCTGGAAAACCATGATGGTGCAGGATGAGGGAAGAAGTCTACACACAACTTAAGCCAGTAAGCGCTATATGCAGTAGGTACATTGTACAAGAAAGGCTGTAGCTGTGATGTACTAAATGACTTACATCCATGGATCTCGAAGGTGCACTCCTGCTTGTCCAGTGGATAGAAGCGCAGGTTCATGGCACAGGTGATCTTCACATCCTGCCTGCAAGGATACAGGAAGATACAATGATCTGTAAATAATTTCATCGAGTGAGTAATTCAATGATTAACAAACTTCTTCGCACACAGCAAGAGATATCCACCTTCCAACAGTCCTTCTGCTGCCTTCCTCAGGGCAATACTGACTGGTGGTACATCACACTCAGTCTGCTAAATCACAGAGATTACTTCCAGAAATTTTGAGTGACATCCATCACTCTTCTTCAGCATCACTGAAGTGAATTGACAGAACTAGTGAACACTTACATACGTGTACTTAGAAACAGGAAAACCCAGGCCTTACTTTGCGATGTGGTGCACATTTCCATCAGGGCAGAGCCAGGTGGAGATCTGGTCGTCACTTTGTGTGAGACAGCCCTCGTCAGAGCACAGGGGGTCCACCTGAAGCAGTCAGGACAAACAAGTTTGTTATTAATAATTTGACTGTAGAACATTATGCTTCCTTTCTCCAAAGGGGGCAATATATAGTAGTATCCATTCCTTCCATTACAAAGTTAAGTGTTTGAATTTGTAATATAAGGCATTTCATGTCTTGTTAAAATCATATCAACAAACTATTCATTCAGTGTTGTTCAAGCAACAAACAATATACAATATATACATGTATGACATACATGGTCAAAACACACACAAATACACACACATAGGCATGCACATGCACACACAAAAAAGCATGCACACACACACATACAAACACACACACACAAGCACACACACAGAAACATACACAAGCACACACACACCTTACCTTCTCCCCCATGGCATAGACAGGGCACACACACAAAAGCATGCACACAGACACATACACACACACACACACACAAACACACACACACACCTTACCTTCTCCCCCATGGCATACACAGGGTTCCAGAGATGCCGGCCTGGTACAGGAGTCATGTGGCTGGACATACCGGCCAGGCGGTCGTCAAACCAGCTCAGGAACAGGTCAATACTCATCTCAAATTGCTGAGGAAAAATTATAGCAGCTCCTTATTAATGAATCAGTCTGGACTTTAACTATACAAAAATTGACTGTAGTTCAGTCTACAGAAACCATTGCGGAAGCCTAGGCCTGTTTTCATGACTACTTTGAGCAGTCATTGATAGCTGTGTCATAACATGGTATAGACTAATTGTATGTAAAATATTGAATGAGCATAGCAATACACAAGATATATATACAATGGGGTGTGTGCAGTTATGTGGTATATGCTTCATTAGCTCCTCTACCTACAGACCTCATGAATATTTGATAAGATTGAAGACGAACAACATTTTATTATGGATTGTCCATTATATTATGATAAGCTCACAAAGCTGTTCAACCTTCTTTCTGCTTGCACAACAGAATTTGTTACATTTCATGCTATAGATAAATTCAATTTCATTCTAGAAGGTAATAACCCTTATACCATACCCGGGCCGCGATAACGTTCGATAACGGGTTCCGGACCGGGCCGTACTTCA